TAATTGACCTAAAACCTAAAGTTCGACCTGAACATGAAACCTCCCTTCAGCCAGTAGCCCACATTTTCAATCAACCTCAACCTGATTTAGGGTAACAGATCTTGCAGTGGTCACTATACCCCACCTTGTTAATTTTACCTTTTCATAACTAAACAATATATATTAACTACAATGCCTTATTATATAATTCAATATGTTGAACTTCAAGGTGCTAAGAAATTAGCACTGCTAACACAGTATTCTCATCACTATTAAGTCCAGCGACATGCCAAATAACCATATTCAACAAAGTAAAGAGAGCACTTGAGTAGCAAAATAGTGCAAGACTGCATGCATAGGAGCACACCTCCACATGTCCAGCATGGAAGAGATCAAAAGCACCATCCATATAAACTATGCGAGCATCAGGACCTGGACCCTGGAACAAGAAACACGAGTAAAATAAGTTGGGGCCAAGTGACATGCCCTGTTTATTAGCATGCACATTTCTTATCACATTAATTAAATAAAGGAACTTACAGCATGCTGTTTTCTCTTTTCCCCCAATAAAAGAATGTTATATTTTAATTTAGAAAGAAAGGAAGAGAGGGAATGAGAGGTGGGAGGAACAGGACATTGTTCAAAAAGAGCCAAATGCTAAGAAACGAAGGAAATTCATGAAAACCTTAAGTTAGATTATGTACATAAACATACCCTTCCATTTGAGAACTGGACAATTCTCCGAGATGTGGGAAGAAAATGAGATATACGAGTTGCACTTGCAGATACACCATCTTCTACCTTGTGGCTATGACCATGGCTGAACTGTCTTTGTAGAGAAGAATGATTATGACTATCACTAACAGACCTTTCTCTTACACAGAGAAGCATTCGACCTGGGCATAAAATTGTTGAATTACTACTAAAGAAGTATCAATGTGAATACCAAGAACAATAACCAAACAAAAGTTTTGATTGGAGAAAAGTCAAATACTAATAACAAAAACATTAAGAAACAATCAAAGAGATGTCATCACAACTAAAAAACATTAAACCAAACCACATGCAAGATCAGCAAGAAATAAATAATGAGGTGTGTCAGAGGCTTCAGTTTAATTGCCAAGTTTGGGCAGAAAAAACCACAAGTTCAATGCAAAAGATACATTCAAAGAGGTGATAAGCTGAGAGTTCTTTACTCCTTTAGAAAGTTCATCTTTTGCTAAAATTGGAAATTTAACATACTAGACTACCAACAGATAAGAAAATCCAAGAAATGCTGTCAAATGCTCTAAATTGGATTACAAAAGGAGCAAAGAGACGGCTGTGTTATTTTCTTTCCCTCGTTAAATCTAGTGTTCACACTAAAATGATAATTTTTGTCAGCTAAATTATCAGCTATTGAAGATGAAGCAGTATTGTTATGGAAATTGCATATATATTTTATGGCCATTGGGGCAACTTATTGTGGTTACTTATTTCACTATTTTATGATAGCCAGTACTTTTCTCATCTTAAAGCAGTAACTCTTGTACTCCATAGATCAGAAATTCCGAAAGGCCATCAATGCATAATATTAAGATATCAAGTTTACCTCACTGACATGGGTTTTTAATTCCTTAGTTTTTTTGAGCAATTTGTCTTTTCAATTCTATCCTTTTATTTTCATGACATGCCTATCTATGGTTCAACTTCACCACGATTCTTCAGTTGGAATGCTAATGGAGTTGATTCTCTCTCCACAAAAAATTTCAGTGTCATGCACAGACTAAAGAATGAAGAGTGATTCTTAAATTACAACCACATACTGATTGCATAGCCTCCAAATTATATAAATGGTATTTCAATTATATAAAATCATAGGCAACAAATAACCATAATTCTTACCAACAATATCTGTGCTTGAGACTCCTTCTGTGCGCTTTATTTGTTTATATCGGCCAGCCTTTTTAGCAAGGATGTATGCATCAGTTCCATCAGGCAGAACACAAGGATCATCTCCATGGATAATGTAATCGATATTGTATTCATCAAAAAGCTTTTTCATGAATTCTTCAGTTATAGCATAAGGTGCATCAGGAATAACCTCGTCAACCCATTTAACAGCCTTAACCATAATCAACCTATGACCAAGTACATATCTTTACCAGTTAGGAAACTATTGATAAAATATACAAATTTTCAACAAAAAATGTAGTTAATTGTTCCAAATAAACGCAGATTCAGAATAAGAAGTAAGGCATCAAACATAAAAGATTTCTTTCCAGAAATGCCGGAATCCCCACAAACATGGCAGTTCAAGCAAGTTGCTAGAAATAATATAATTTCGTCAGACAACATTAAAGCAAACTACAAATCCACAGTTATACAATACATCAGATATAGAAAATTATATCATGACGGTCAGTAGAAGTTAAATAAATTGTTAGCTTGAATGTCATAAGCTATAAATTTCCAGCTAACAGATCCTTCAAAGATCATAAATAGGAATCAAATTAGGCAATAAGGAATGTCGAGTGAACGAAGTACAATTTCTTCTGTAATCAGTACAACTACTGCTAAAAATGGCTGGAAAACGCAACAAACCTCTCATTCAGAGGAGTCACAGGAGGACCTTTGTTGGCGATAATTTCGGCGTCGCTGACAACACCAACGACCAGCTGGTCACCGAGGGCACGCGCTTGACGCAAGGCGTTGCAATGGCCATAATGCATCATATCAAAACAGCCATCCATGTATACGCGAATAGGTTTTTTCCTCCTCCTCTTCCATACTCCCAGGGGAGAAAGATTCTGCGGCGGCAATACTCCGCCAGAGTATAACCCATACAGTGACACTCCCACCAATACGCCTCCGATCAAGCACGTCGCTAAGAACCTCGCGGCCAAGCGTTTCTCTTCCGTTTCAAAAGCCATTGTCGGTCACTCCTTCGCAGAAGCACCGGCGAAGGTAAAGTAGTTTCTACACCCTAAAAGAATAAAGTTAGCTCGAGAAAACTACCGAAAGTGATACTTTCAGATTCGACGATTTCGATTTCCAAAATTCCTTTTGTTTTTTTCTTTTTTTCATGGACAATAAATCATCTTGATTTTCGAAAACAAAAAATAATTATATTATTATTAAATATTTTAATACAAGTCATTACAATTGTAATTTATAATTATAATTACAATTATAAGTCAACAATAACACATGTGTAAAAGAAAAAAAAGGTTAGTCTCAATTAAACTTTACAATGTTTGTTAAAATAGCCCTACTCATAAATATAATAATATTATTATTAGTTAAACTTTTTATGGCACAAAATGATATACTTAATATTATATATTTAATGTAATTTAAAAAAATGCGATTGTTCTCAATTAATTTAAAATATGTGTTGGCCAAAAAAAATTAAGATATGTGAATTTTTATATGTTACTTTTCTATAAAATTTTAAATATTATTAAAACTTTAAAAATCAGTAATCAATAAAAATATATTAAATATATAAATCTAAATATTAAAGTAGTTTTGCAGGTCAAAATTTTTTTAAGTATTTTTATTTTATGTTTATAACATGTAAAGTATAAATATAAGTTAATCCCTTATCACCACGGTTATATTTTTAAGTGGTTTTCAAGTTACAATGGGTAAATTCTAAGCTTATCTGACTTTTTTTAGCGGGGAAAAACTCATTATTATGAATTTTAAATTTATTGAAGATAAAACGACCCGAGAAACTTTTCTTTTGATAGAGAAATTTTCATAAATTCTGTATTTAGTTTTTTTTTTTACTAAAGAGAATTGAATAGTGTCTTGAAAACAGAAAATAAATTCGTGTATATTAATGAAGAGCAAGGATCAAACTTTCCTTTTTTTTTTTTAACTTATAAATTTGGAATGGAGAATCAAAAGAAAAATTAAATTAAATTTTTATGAGTGATTAAAATGTAGAGAATAGTTTTGGATTGAGCTTCTGGCTAGCATTTTGACAGAAACATGACATGACTAATAATATAATCACCGACTCACAGGAAAGGGAAGTAACACTTTCGAAAGCGACATAACATGACAATGAATTTATGAAGTTGATGGTCACATAATAATATTCTCTGGCATATTTAAAAGCATTCACTATGGTTTGAATTTTTAACTCTTTTTTTTTCCTTCTTACCATGAAAAGATATCGGAGAAATTACACTCTAATTTCTTAAAGTTTGGCTTGGCACTCATTGCGTTCATTTCCGCTTTCTAGATGAGCCTTACATTTTTCTTCCTTTTTATTACGTGTCCAAGGGGACACTCTTGTGTGCTTTTAAAATGAATTATTTTATTTTATTTTTTTATCAGTTTTTGAATTCTATTTCGAGCATTGAATTTTACAGAAGAAATAATATTACCCAAATTTAATGCCTCAAATTTTTGAATTCTATTGTGAGACATGTTGGTAATAAAGTTAATATTTTTCCAGTTTTTATTACTGAAATTTATGCTATTAAGACTGTTCTTAAAGTTTGCAAGCAATATGACTTTTGCAAAATTCACCTCTTCTTAGACTCTATTGAGACTCTTAACGTCTTATTTAGAGAGTGGCCAAGAACATTCATTTTGCACATTGTCAACTTGATTGGGGAACTCATCTGTATAGCGAGTGGGACTTGGACGTACTACATGTCAACGGGGAAAACAAACACTGGTGCAGATATAATGGCAAAAACCAGCCATAGCTTTGGTTTCAATATCACTATTCTCCTGGAAGCCACTCCCTCTCGTCACCAAGCTCTTTTGGAAGGCAAAAGCTATTAGTGCTTAGTTGTTTACTCTTTAGTTTTCATTCATCGAGCTTCAGCTTGCCTATGTAACTTAAAAAAAATAAAAAAATATTTGCACGCGATTCCGTTTTATCAATTTTTACGATTTACATCAAGTATGAGGCTGGTGGGCTTGATACCATTGGTATTCTCCGGACAAATCAAGTAATGTCAGCCTAGACTAATAATTTTTTTTTGGGGGGGGGGGGGGGGGACTTTAAGCAGCAGCACTTCAATCATGGCAATAACATGCATAGCAATCTAACAAAGTTCTTACACTTTGACAACATAAGATTTTGAACAGCGTTCTATTCAACCATCTTTTATCCATTTTATGGCAATCAGTGACACAAAATTTGCCAGCCAAATAAAATATAGTGAGACATCCGAACGGAAAATGGCTACAGTTTTGCATCAGCTCCCTTCGTTTTCTTTTTTAATTGGATCTGAACTCACAACTGGAAGATTTTTTCTGTACTGCTGAGACGTCAATCTCCTTTCTAACGGTGTTTTTCTCTTGCTCACAACAAATCTGTTCACCCCTTTGCGCATAGGCATTATTGAAGGAAAGTCTTCGTCAGGAATCTGACTTAGCTCAGATATATCCTTAATCTGTGCAACGCGACGGAACCATCTCTCCGCCTTTGCCTCCTCTGACATGTCTAGAGGATCTGGTTCCTTTACTGCTGATCCCTCCAAACTTTTTCCCGTCCATTGAGCCCTCACATTTTGGTTCTCAGGCGTCGGGGATGAACTCTCATTCGAATTTGGCATGTGATCTTTATTCTCGTACCTGGTATACTTATCACCAGGATCCTTGTCATTGTTACTTGAGCCCTGTACTGAAGCCTGTGGACCCCAGTTGTTCATGCTTAAATCTTGATTTCCACCATCTTGGGCATAATCTCTTCTCTGCAACCCAGGGCGAGCAGGAAATCCTCCATCATTGGTCATACCTTTGACATAGTCTCCACCCTCAATCCTATGTCCAGTATCATCAGACATCTCTGGAAGCTTCTCTGCCACCTCTGATGCTGATTCAATGATGAGTTTATCAGTTGAATTTGTTCCATCTGACTGCTGTTTGTCTTTTTTGGCAAAGTAGCCTGGCGGGAATGGGACAAACGGGACGTAGCTGGTATTACTAGCTTGCTCCATTGCCAATTGTCTCTTGTATGCTGGGGAAGTCAAAGAGCGATCTTTTTTCTTGCTAACAACAAATCGATTTTCTCCTTTTCGCATTGGCATTATCTCCGGAAAATCCTCATCCGATATTGCACTTGTCAAATCTGAAACATTATGCAGCTCAGAAACCTTTCTAAACCACCTCTCAGATTTTTCAGCTTGCTCTTGCTCTTTGTTTTCTCTATCAAGTTGATTTGAAGAACTAGAAAGATGTGAACTATCTCCCAAGTTGCCAGATCCAGCATCACTAACTGGGACCACCTTCTTGCTCTCTCCTGTCTTCAAGTTCTCCGACGTTTGAGCAAATGTATCTGCAGGCAATGGAACAAACGGAGCATGGCCAGAGTCGCTGCTTCTCAAATTTCTGTATTGAGGAGAACTAGAAATTGAAGGTGGGCTGTCTGTATTAGTATTATGTCCAGAAGCAAAGCTCATATTGTCAGATTGAGAATGGCCAGCTGGACGACCAAGAATCTCATCTAGCCTCTGGCTCACAGATGTGTGAGGTGACTTGGTTGCCTTGCTGGCTTGAAAATCATCAACCTCACCAGTGCCATCGTTACCCAAATTTCTGTTATATTGAGTATTATCCAACCTCCTCTCCAATGGTGTTTTCTTTGTGCTCACAACAAATCTATTTACTCCTTTCCTCAATGGCATTATTTCAGGAAAATCTTCATCTGATGTCATACTGTTAATATCAGAAGTACTGTCCAGTTGAGAAACCTTACTAAACCAGCGCTGAGCCTTCTCTTCATTAGCAGCTAACCTACCATCAATATCCGAAGTGTTAGTCCTACTCTCATTTCCAAACCCCACTCCTGTTGGGGTATTGACCACAGCTAACTGTATTTGTCCAGGCCGCTTGCAATCACACCTCATGCAAGTCATATTCCTCCCATAATTATAGAAATCACACCTTCAACAACAACCCAAGAAGAAAAAAAAAAATCCATCAGTTGGCATAAAGAATGACGATGTATAACCATGGGGCAAGAGAAGCACTTCAACAGTAAATTACTCACTGAGGGCACTCCCACTCTGCTCCAGTTAGCTGTCTCTTTGGCCTGGCCTCCTCACACTCGAGACATTTGATATTTCTTGCAAAATTCATGAAATTACACCTGCGACATATTAGGGAAAGAGTCTGCTAACATCAGTGTGCTATAATACTTTATAATGCTAGAACAAAGATGTCAGGCTAATCTTGTATTATACAGAGTCAATAAATAACATGGTTGATTTGGAATCAAAAAATAAAAAAGTTTACCTGGGGCAAATCCAATCACCCCTTTTCATTTCAATCTTTTTTGTAGGAGCCATTGTCTGTCCAGATCTAACAGGCATTTGATTTTGCATTGCACCACATGAGTTTGATCCAGATGCATTACAAGTCAGCTTGAAAAGTTCAGCAAAAAGATTTCGGACTGATGATTCAACAAGATCTCTATTACGAAGATTGTCCCTTTCTGACAATACCAAAGGGTTACTTGTATAACTCAGCATAAATTTCATCAAATCAACCATATGAGCTTGATCAGAATCCAGGACCTATGAAAACATCTTAAGCACAATTAGGTTAACAACTTCAACATATTTATCATGATCCAGATTGAAGAAGAGAGAATAAATGCACCGTACTCATCAAAACACATGCTTGCAGACCAGTAAACTCTTCATCTTTCAACTGAAAAGAGAATTTTCAAACATAGGTTTTCACAAGGTATTTCTTATCATCCAAACACAATTGTGGTGTTTTGAGGAGACAAATATCGCTCAGAAGTGGCAGGTCTGCTTTTACACTCATGGTTAGATCTATAGTATTAAAATCAAGAGCAAGATGAACAAGTATTTCATCACTATTTGATGAAAAGTAAGCCAAGAACTTCCTATATCCCATATCAGGGCTACAACAAGAGGGAATAATTCCACCATAACGATGGCAAATTAACATGCTCAGCAATACATTTCTTAATTCAGATATACAGATTAAAGTATAAATTAGCAAAATACACGGATAATTTATTTTGTTGCCGCAAATATAAGGGAATAGACTTCAATGCCAGTGCTGACTTTTGGTACAATTACTTCAGTTAATTTGTATCAAATTTGCGGCAGCGTGTTTATGAATTTTTCTTCACTTAGTGCTCTCAAGACTATGGATTTGACAGATATTAGTGAAGCCCGTGATTGTAATTACATAGAATTGCAGCATATGATGAAGAATTATGCTACCTCAGGTTACTTTGAAAAGGCTATGGAGACACTGTGTTGCATGAAAAATATAGCTGGGAAGCCTACTGTTTATGACTATAATTATGCTTACTATCAAGAATGTTGAAAAAAGTTATATACTCAGGCCATTTTATTGATTCTCTCAATGTTTTTGACTTCATGATGCAGTTGAAGTATTACCCTACTCATCACAGGTATAATCCCCAATATTTGCTCTTATACTGCTTTAGTATATGGATTTTGTAAAGAAGGTTGGTGTGAAGAAGATCCTTTACACTGTCTAGATGACATGGAAAGTGATGGTTGTAAGCCCAATGACTATTGGTATGTTTTTTAGATACGAACACCAAACTTCGATTAAGAAAGGGGGGAAACTCAACACTTACACTGATTGTACTATTGGATATAAAAGATCTCATCTTTCTCACTGAATCCTCAGCGTCTTGGAACAGAAATGGCGTGCCGTGTTCGACGACCACCTCTACGTCTCTCCTCGAAAGTAGCCTATAACGATTATAATTACAGACAAAAAGGCGCCAAGAGAAGAGACTGGTAAGCAATTCAAAGTTTTACACCAAAATTACTGTGAGAAGGTTAATTCTCATAAAATTTCAATATGCACAATAGGGGGCAATGGATTGGAAACTAACCGCAAAATATTCTGTCGATCCCGAGCAAAGGCCAAGCAAGCACTGGCTTCACGCAGAAAGAAGGGGTTCAATTCCCCCGCCGCCACAAATTCATCCTCACACGGCCGATTATCAAAATATCCAGAAGCAGAGATATGATCAATAAATTTAGACCACTCAGGCCAAGGATGGGAATGGTGGGGACCTAAAGAAGAGTCTTCCAAGTAGCCATTGCGGACAGAGGAGGCAGCCTGGTTATGAAGTTGACGAGAAGCTTTGAGAGGAGGAGACAGAAGAAGTGGAGCATAGGAGGGAGAACAATTAAGATGATGGAAAGAGGATAGGAGGAACTTGCGGTGGCGAGACAGGCGGAGAAGGGAAGAGCTGCTGCGGCGGTGGAGGAGAGGGAAGGGAGTGGTGAGGAGGACTAGGAACCTCGCGGCACCGCCCATTTCTCAGCCTCCCCAACTGTGAAACGAAATGAAATGAAAGTCAAAGCAAAAACCCTGTCAATCTGTTGGCCACAATATAAACCCTGTAACACTGGTGGAGAATGTCAGATATAAAAGAAAACTCCCGTGGAGAATACGGGTATTAACATAAAAATTATTAATTTAAATGACATTATCAGCAGTAATAACAATTCTAAGTTTTATGCTAAGGGGAAGAGGAAATGAGTGGTTGAGATTCTCATTTTTTCCCAACAAATATCTTCTATATGAGTATATAAAAGTTGTTGTGACTTACTGGCTTCAAAAAATAGGTATATCAGTTTGGGAGAGATGTAAGTGAACATACCAGATAGAGAGATCATGTAAATTATTAAAGATGTGATTATCCGGTGATAAATAAGGAAATGCAGAGTAACAAGAAGATTAAGAGTGCATTTGAAAGTTTATGATTAAATAAAAAAGAATTGTCGTTAACAGAATAGAGTGGAGTGAAATAGAATAAATTAAACTTTCTATTGTTTGGAAGTTTTATAATGAAAAATAATAATTTTACATGACTATTGTTTGGAAGTTATTATAAAATAGATAGAACAAAATGAATTAAAACTTTTTTCTTTTAATATTACTCATATAACTAATTTTAAAGAAAATAATAATATCCATTAAATAATTATAATATTTATCCAATAAGAAATAAAAATAATAATTAAAATTAACAATCAAACAAGATACCCAAAACAATACATGTTGCACAAGTAACAAAACTATCTAAGTAAACATACATGTTGCATAAGAGAAAAACAAAGCAGAGTCGTAGTGTTAAAAGGAGAGAAAGAAAAAGATGGTAGGAGCAAAAAAGATGTGAAGGGAGATAGGGCTGTGCACTATACCCAATTAACCTGGCTCCGCTTGAAGCATTCGAGCACATTGGGCTAAGCATTGTCAGGAATCAAATCTTGCCCTTCTCAAACATGTGCAAGTTTTTTTTAAAAAAAATTGTGAATAATATTTATCTTATGGCATTATTTTTTGTTGAAAGTTATCATGAATTATATTATTTTTATAATCTTTTAGACATTTTTTTATCATTACAATTTTTTTAAATGTCTTTCAAAATTTAAAATTTAATTTTAACTTATTATTATGTCAAAATAATTGATAAGTGTTGTTCAATTGAACTTTTAAAAAAGTACTTTTGGTTCTACTATTAGTTTTATGAAGAAAATATTTTAATTTCAAATCAATCAAGCTAGCTTGATGCCCGACTGTACATTGTGTAACATTTTAAATTTTTTAATCTCATAATTAGTGATTAATTGAGGGTAGAGTGAAAATTAATGTGGGAGTAGATGTTTGAATGATTATTTGGTGATTTAACTCATTAGAATATCGTATGAATAAATATGGGTGAGAGGATCACATTTTAGGTCGAAGTAAGTGTGAGTGATGAGAATTATTCTTACTATAAAATGAATGTTTAGAGAGTGAGATTTGAAGAAATGCAAAACCAATCGAAAATCAGAGCATGAATCTTCATATTTATTTTGGAATGAACATATTTGATCTGGAATAGTGAAGAACAAAATGGTTAGAAGCACAAAATTGGTTCTTCTCAAATATTGCTCTTATATCAAAATAAATTTATGCATATAATGATTTGAGGAGCTTTATTTGGAAATAAAAAAAGTTATTCCCAAATACAAGTTATATATCCTTGAAAAATTGAATATATTTTGGAATAATATAATGAGTTTTTGAACGAGAGGTTTGTTCCAAAATAATGAAAAGGGAGAGAATAGCTTGAGATATAGACTATTCCAAAATAAGTGAGCTTACTTTGAAATAAAGAACATTCTAATGTGATATACAGATTAAGCTTTTAATATTATTGATTAATTGGGAATAAGAGATGATAAAAAGAATGTTAAGAGTTTAATCTTAACTAAATTGTGTTTAAAAGGATTTTATAAAGGTTATAAAATAAACACAACACTTAGAAGTTTGAAAGGATTGAATAAGGAAAGAGAACTGAAAAAATCGAGTATGAACATGTGAAACAATGTGTAAAAAATGATACTTATACCAAAATAAGTAAGTTTATTCCTAAATAAGACATTATATTTTAGAACAATGGACACAGTTTTAAAATAAGAAAATTTTGTTAACTTCTAAAAGTCATAACTATTTCATTTTAATTTCAAATTAGGCAAATTACTTATGATTGGAAAGCTTTGGATGTCAAGTTTTCAATGAAATAAAATTCACATAAAAATTTAAAGTATTTTGAGAGTATAATTAAAATTGTGAGACAAGGTTAATGACGTTTATTTGTAGGTATGAAAGTTTCAATACCCAACTTTCAAAAATTATATCTATTTAATATAAAATATATTTTGAGTTTAATAAATGTCTTTAGAAATCAATACAAGCCTATTTTTAAATAAAAAAATTTTTACATTAAACATAATTGTATATTAAAAGATATAAAGAAAACAATGATTAAAGGTCAAAATTAAATATTTAAAAAAAAATTCTTAACTTTTCAAGAGTTGATAACATAATTAAATTCAAACTAAAACCTTTTCAAAATCTAAAAAAATTTAATAAATGATTTAAAATAAATTAAATACTTATTCTACTAAAAAATTTAAGTTCAAGTAACATGTCAGAAAGAATTAGGGAATCAGAGATTAAGCATATATCCTTAATTTTCTTACTTAAAACCTCTACAAGATAAATACTTCTCTATTTTATAATAATCAAAATTAATGTTTAATATTTTTATCTTATTAAAATTTAAATGTGTTATTATTAATTATAAATGGAGTATTGTCAAAATTCAAATGAAGTGTTGTTAATATCTCACACACAAGTTTTTTATTATTAATTTAATTTAAATTTGAGGGGCAATATTATTTTTTTTCATAAAAACTTAATTTCAACCCGATACTAAAAGGTAATTTCAATATCTTACTGTGCTTTTTTTGAAATAAATTACTTTTAGAAGTCCTCAGCTAATATTTTGCCAATCAACTATTAAGCGTGACCGAAAATTCCGAGAAAAGTAGAAAGTAGTCGTTCGGTTTCACTCAGCAGCTCTTTGTTAATGTCGACAGATCACTTGAAATTCAATCGCTCCATAATCCCAATTTGCTCTCAAAGCTTCCTTTCACGCTCTTCTCCTGTTTCTCGTCTTCGCTTTCTGATTCATGCTCGGCTTGGCAGCTACGCTCGATTTCTTCTGTGTTGCGTAATGAAATCACTGTATAGGTGAGTCGCGGCTTCAGCACTCCTTATCTTTCTGGATCTTTCCCCTTTCAATGTGGTTCCAGGGATGAATATAGTGGTTTTTCTGGGTTTTTGTGTGTGTGAAAGTTTCCTGGTTTTGGTCGTGTTTGTATCTTATAAAATTGTTCTCTCTTCATTATATGTTCAAGATTTACATGATTTGGGTTTAATGGCTCTTTGATTCGGCAACCTTCATCAAGGTTAGGGTTCATACCACACAGTCATGTCAGTTACCTATTGAACAATCTTGTGTTTATGTTCTTTTCGTAGGATCTTAATTAAGTTGCTAAATTGCAGCCGAGTGCTATTAGTGTGATCATAATGACTATCGAATTACTGTCTGCTATTCGCCCCCACCCTTTTTTTCTGACATGACGAAGAAAGGATAGACTAGGAATCCAGAGTTCACATTGTTGGTTATCTGATTTTAGTTCATTTGGTGTTTCTATATCTACTCTCTCTCCCCGTTTCTTTCTCCCATGGTTCTTCCTTTTAGTTTAAGTGAAAATTTCCCTTCGTTGTGTTCATTTTCCCCCTTATGAAGGGGTTCGTCTATTATTTTTTGGTAACCTGGGTTTTATTAGTTATTCATTATATGATTTGTCCATTAATTGAAACTTGGCTTCAATTTCCCCCTCTTTTTTTGGGATTATCGAATCAGTACTTCATTTTGTATATTCTGTGATAAGGGTCTTCCAAATCTAATGCATTTGAAAATGTCAATTTTATTTCTAGATAGAACCTTAATCTTAGTTAACTTTACTCTTCACTATTTTTAAGTCATGTTGTTTAGGATTATTTGAAACAAGTTTTTGTTGATCCCAGAAGAATCCTCTCAATGTTGAAGAGATTCAGATGGGACATTCTATTTGAAGATCAATAGTATACAGCATATATGAAAACTTGATCATAATTACTTCATGTCATTTTGTTTCAGTGACTGTTTTTGTCTGTGGACACACAATTAGTAGAGAGACATACACAATGAGAGGATTAACAAACAAGGCTGTCAATGATAATATAATAATATCAGGTAAGTTTCATCAAAGTTACCGTAGGTGAGAATTATGCTCTGTTCAGTTCTTCCTAGTCAAGCACATGTAAGATTACATGCAGTTCTGAGTTTTGAAGAAATATTTGTAAACATCAATAAGATTTTCCAATGATAGTAGCATCGAGTTGGAGGCAAATTCCAAGGGTCATTTAAATACTGCAATCAAAATAATGATAAAATAAAGCACAAAAATGCATGTAGTCCTCTATTTTACATTAAGTTTTGATTTAGTTTTTTGAAATTTTTAAATTTTGAAAGTAATCCTTTAAAATATAATAAAACAAGAGATTAATTTAATTGTCTCACTGCTTAGCATCAAGAACACAATTGTTTACTTCTTTCTTTCTTTCTTATTTTTAATTTTTTATTTTTGGCCAACCCGTTTACTTCTTTTCTTAAACCTTGAGACTTAAGATATCAGATCATTTTTTATTAATTTAATTGAATTAATGAATGAATATTATCGTAAAAGAACATTATCACTCACATGAATGTAGCACTTGCTTCACAAACAAAAATTTCATGAAGTAGACAGCACTCAACTCTGTTTTCCTTTAAAGTCAAGTGTAAATGTGGTCCTTCTTCTTGTTCTTCTTCTTCCCATCAGAAGCTTTGAGTTCTTGATACGAAGTTTCAAGTTTGACCTTTGAGTTGCCATCTGAAGCTACTCTTTCAAACTGAAGTTACTAGTTGAAACTGAGTTGCTTTGCTTTCATTAATTTTAGCGTCTTCTGGTTCACAGATGATAATTGCTGTGAGTTTATTTTAGTGCTGTCCAAGTGGAATATTATGATCTCAGAAGGAGGAGTTTGTAATGTACTTTGATTAATTTGTCATTTCTAAATAGAAGGTTTTATGATATCTCCACGGAGTTCAGGTTTGATCAGTGTTTTCAATCTCAGATGGATTTGGATGAAACAATCAAACTAAGTTTAAACAAATTTAAACAAAGTAAGACTTTACCTATTTAAAGGCCTACCTTTTGGCTTTCATGACAGGCTAGTTCTTTGACCCTCCATTGGTTTTGATTACACATCGTAAGACAATGTTTCTCAAAAATTAGACCGAGCAATAGATTGAGTGAAGTCTTCTGGATCCCCATGTATTGAAGCCTCACTTCTTGCATGTTTTCAGGTTAAGCTTTGAAGTGTTGCCGTTGTCTTCATTTCTCCAGCCTCGCCCATGTATTGAAGCTCAAATTTAATTCTATTCTCTGAACCTTGTTTTTTTTTTTTTTTGGTAATTCGCAAAATTAAGATATATCCCTTGAATTTTGTCCATTTGCAGTTGATTTCTTAGGGTTATTTGGATTCTCATCCCTTTCAAACTATATTGCCCACAAGGTGTTTGATAACTAGCTTGAGTGAAGATACCAATTGTTCCGTTTAATGGCAAACAGTAAATATGAATATGTGAAGTCATTTGAGGTTGAAGATGAGATGATGTTTCCTAATCTAATTGTTGTTTGGATCAATGGTCGTGGCTTTGAAAAGCTTTCAAAAATTCATGACTTTGAGAAACCACGTGATGAAAAAGCTCTCCAATTGATGAACTCCTGTGCTGTTTCTGTGCTGCAAGAGTATGCAGACATTGTTCTAGCATATGGGTTCAGTGATGAGTTCAGCTTTGTCTTCAAGAAGAGCTCCAAATTCTACGAAAGGCGAGCTAGTAAAGTTTTATCCATAATCACATCTTTCTTTGCATCTGTGTATGTAAGAAAGTGGAGTGAATTCTTCCCGCAACAAGAATTAAAGTACCCTCCTTCCTTCCATGGAAGGGTTATAAATTGTGCATCTATTGAAGTCCTTCAAGCATACCTTTTGTGGAGGCAAAATATCTGTCATGTTAAGAATCAATATGATCAATGCTTTTGGCGTCTTGTTAAACGAGGAATGACTGAAAGGGAGGCACAAATTTTTTTGGAGGGTGCTGAGAAACGTGACAAAAATGATCTTTTGTTTGATGAGTTCAATCTCAACTATACCACACTTGAGCCTATATTTCGTCAAGGCTCGTTTGTCGCAAAAGCTGCGGTGGAAGATATTGTGAAGTACAAGGAGAATGGTGATCCGATCAAGAGGCTAAGGAGAAAGATAATTACAGTTCATTCGAAGAAGATAGCTAGTAGAAGATTTTGGAATGATCAGAGTATGCTAGTAAAGGAGCTTGGAGGATTTGTGGAGGAGATTGATAATGTAAAATCGGAGTATGTGAAGTCCTTTGAATTTGACACAAAGTTGATGCCATTCACATGGATTGTGGTCAGAATTGATGGGTGCCATTTCCATAAGTTTTCTGAAACACATGGATTTGTGAAGCCAAATGATGAGAGAGCTCTTAATTTAATGAACTTATGTGCAATGGCTGTGTTAGAAGAGTTTCAGCCGGATGTAGTATTTGCCTATGGGGTTAGTGACGAGTATAGCTTTATTTTGAAACAAAGCACGAATCTATACAGAAGGAAGGCCAGTGAAGTTGTTTCTGCTATAGTTTCATTCTTCACATCTATGTATGTGATGAGGTGGAAAGACTTTTTCAAGGGGAGAGAATTGAAATATCCTCCTTCTTTTGATGGAAGAGCAGTGTCCTATCCATCAAGAGAGATTCTTTGTGACTATCTCTCATGGAGGCAAGTGGACTGCCACATCAACAATCAGTATAACTATTGTTTCTGGAAGCTTGTTGCTTTGGGGAAAAGCAAGAAAGAAGCCCAGAATAGTTTGAAAGGAGCTCAGTTACGGAAAAGACTTGAGGAATTGGAAATTGATTATAATAGTTTACCCATCTTGTTTAGACAAGGATCCTCAGTCTTCTGGAACAAAGGAAGCAAGTTTCTCGAGCATCAAGAGAATGAAGAGTCTCATGAGAGTCATAGAAAAGTCATTGTAGAACACTGTGATATCATTGGATCAAGGTTTTGGCTAGAGCATCCAAGCATCCTTGATGGGGAGTAACGCATGCCGTCAAATCCATGGCCCAATGGTAGAGCAACAGGTCACTCGGTATTCAAGTATTAAATGAGAAATGAAAGCCTTTGCGTTCGTCAATGATTTTTCTTTTTTTTGGCCACTGGGTCAGTGAATGAAGGAACAGTGAAAAACCATTGATCCAGGATTAATGTGAAAGTTAGCATGCAAAGATCGAAGGAGATATTTATTACAACTTTTACGGTGTTTACATTTACTTTTGACCGTTAGTCTCTATACAGTGTTTATGGAAGTTCTTCTGTATAACTATTGTTTTATTGTTGAGAACTTGACTGTTAATATATTAACTGCATTTCTTTTTATTTGTTTTTTAGCATACAGATGATGCTATGATGTTATCCAAACTGAAATACTTAATCTTTTTATGCTTTGAATCATGTTAAAGATACAAATTGCTCTTTAAAGACTAGAATATATTAAGTTTGGGCACCTCAAATCAAGTTCCTCGACACATAGTCCTAGAAGTTGGTGGTTTTAATTTCATAATTTTTTTCCATTTTTTCTTGTTTGTTTTTAATTGCAGATAGCAAAACCTGTAGCAGCTGTTGAAGCTGATTCGAGAGAATCAAAAGCAAAGAAGACTGAGGAAAGCATTAAGGAGGTAAACAAAACTAGAAATAGAAGCAAGCACAGATGAGAGCAGCAAAGCTGAGGCAAGTTATCATTTTTCTAATAATCAAAGATTGGACTTATTTTATGTGAAAAATTATTTTATTTTATTTTTCCCCCTCACATTAACCCTTTATTCTATTTTATTTTTTCTTAGAACTTTAGCTCATAGAATTCATAAAGTTGAAGTACTTTTTTTTAAAAAAAATTTTGGCCTGTTTGAACAGGTTTCATTTGAATTCCACTATGAAAGCTAAAATTAATGTGCTGGTCACTGATCAGTTGTTGTAGCAATCATTACTTTTGATTAGGTCTAACATCCCATGCATTGATTCGTGAGCTGTGTTGATAGGTTAAAATATGATAAATTTGTTAAAGATCAAACCCCAAAAACAAAAAATTGATTGTCCAGGATGGGATGCTCTCTCACTGGGGCCAAAAATGTTGTATTGGAGGCTGAATATGGATGCAAAGAGGGCGCTGTTCTTGTGAACTCTTTATTTGCCCTTCATTTTCTCATTTTGCAATACATACAAACAAATTAAACGTCAAAATTTAAAAAATTGGAAAAAGAATTAAAAGACTGTTGCGAAAGTTTTTAAAAACAAAAAAGGGGAAGGTTAATCTTGCCACAATTAAATTAGGTTTTGCTCAATTTTAAATTACGTTTTTGTAGCTTTATTTTAATCAAAACATTTATAGTTAAAATTATTAATGAAAATTCTATATGTATAAATTAATTTGAATACATAATTATATAAATTATGAGTTATTCTAAAATTAATAAAAATTAAAATTTCTTAATTTCATTTTTTAAAGGAAAAATTTAAGGATTTTAATTTGAAGATTATTATATTTAATTGAATATAAAATAAGTTAAGAGTAATTAATTTAAAATTGAGAAAAGTTATAAATACTTGTAGATTAATTTTTCAGAAAAATAAAATAAGAGGACAATTGGTGAAAAAGACTTGCTTGGAACAATATTTGTGCCCAGGGACTAATTGTACTTGAAGGACTAGTCTGAATAAAATATCAATAAAACAATGTGATTAGATTACTATCATGCCCCTATCTTAAACGAACAAATTTGAAAAAGAAAACACCCTCTCTTCTTCCTTTCTTTGCGTGATTTGGAGAACTGCAAGACTTTAGAGTGCTCTACAACGATTGGCAATAAGGGATGGATTTGATAGAGGAGCGATGATGATCTAAGGTTTGAGTGAGTTGCGAGCGACAAATTTTGTGAAAGAAAAACCCATCTCTCTGCATGCATCCCTAATTAGATAACTACTAGAATGTGTTGCGATCCGTTGATGGTAGAGTAAATGGCAGCCTGAGTAACACTTGGGTGTGCATTGTGTGTGAAAGCTGCCATTTTGTTCGAGTGAGCACAAGTTTGCTTTCCTCTTCTTGTGAGTTGCTTCTTCTCGTCTTCACTTTGTCTAAACTTGATACAAATGCATGTTTTCATTTAGAATGAGCTTCTTTTCATTCATATTTGAGATTGACCCTAAACTTTCAATTGCCCGAACCCAATCCTTTTCAAATATTTCATATAAATTAATCCATGAACAAATTTGAATGTGTGAAAATTACATGTAAGGTGTAAATGATTTCATGGAAAATGAATGCTATCTTCCTGTGTCCCTGCCTTCCATGGAAACTGTTATGAATTCCATGTAAAATAATGTATGAACAGATTTGCTAACATGCCTGTGAGATGATTACATGATTGATTTCATGTAAATTGAAAATACACACATTTACATTTTCTCTAAAGTGTCTTTAATGTTGGGTAATTCCTAACCATATGTCATACAATTCAAGACTTGTAATCTATATATTTGGCAATTAGGAATCATGGTTAAGACAACTGACATGTGTTGTTTGAGGCTTAGTGGATTGCATGTTCATGCATAGGACTTAAAAAAGAAAGGCATGGTCAAGGATTGCAAAATGCTATTGATGTTGCAAGAAAGGGTTGGAAGAATTTGTCAAAAGAAGAGAGGATCTGCTTCAACAAAATGACTAGGGATAAAAGGCATCGTAGAGCATGTGTGTCTTCATCCAAGGAAGCATTTAAAAAGAGATTGCTCACGCATTACTCGCCTAGACAAGTTTGTGAAGTGGTTGAACATGTGAAATAGAATGAAAGGCTCATGGTGAGAGCCAATGCAATTGGTTTTAGCAAAAATTATTGATCTCAAGTGCACGCAAATAAATCATGCTCTATGTGGAAGTTTGATGAGAGCAATTAACTCGGAGCGATTAAGCAACAAGTAGATGCCAATGATGTGCACATGTTTGTGGGCTTACCTAAAAAAGGAGGGGAGGTGGTCGAAGTTGATCCAGAAGGTGAGATATATAATGAATTGAAAGGGAATGTGTTGGGTTGAGATTTTGACAAAAATAACATGTTTGAGCCCTTGCTTATTCTGTATATATTGGGTATATGTGTCCTCTTGCGAGAAGAGAAGTGACTTCACAATTGGTGAAAGTTATCTTTTGTAAGAAAACAGCTTTGATTTCCTACAATTAAAGTGAATTTGTTGTTAAGTAGTTAATGAGAGAGGTCAAGAAATACAAAAATGTTGCATCTAATAAGGAGAAAAGATCATATGTTACTAGCTGCCTTACTTCTTGATGATAAGTAACATAATTTGATTATTTGTACATATTGATTACCTTGTGTATGTGCCATTTTTTTACCTTGTGATTGTATATAATGTTTCTTCAAAATGTTCCCTTGAATGATAATGAGGTCGTCAAAAACAAGGGATGCATTATTCTAATGGAATGATGAGAAGATCAAGGAAGATACCATGAAGGGGAAAGAGTGTTCGAGGGATGCATTACTCTATTGTAGGACAATGTTATGATTAAAATATATTCTTTTAAAAAAAATTACTTTTTCCTGTAATGATTAAGCACTTGAAATTTATTATATAAATAGTTTTTATGTAATATAATTAGCTCTTATCAATATAAAGAATTTGTGACAATTGAGTGTCATTATTGTGTTGATATATTTATTTACACTAATTATCAATTAAAAAAATTAAATAGTAAATTCAACAAGTGAGTAATAAAGTTTTTTATATTAATAGTAATTTAGATCTCAAGAATGCATTTAAATTTAAATCATTCAATACTCATGAAGAAGGTGAAATTTTTACTAATTTAATGATGGTTCATGTTAAGAAAGAAATAGTTAAAAAGTTTATCGTATGCATAATAATTAATTATTTTTATATCATGAAAAATCGATGAGCAAAATTTAAAAATGAAAAGATATTTATTTTAGTTATATATATGTATGTAAAATTGAATATAAATATATACGTTAAAATATTTATGTTATGCTAGTGATATATACAAATTTAATTTTTTTATTATCATATATGCTTTGTCATTTTGGCCCTTTAATAAAATTTTCTCGCTCCACCCTTGCCCGCAAGTGTATAAGATCACAATAATAAATTACTTAGAGTATTTCAAGTGTCAAATCGATTGCAAAGTTGCATTTTTACTAATTTAAATGATTAATAGTTTAAGAAAATAGATAAAATAAATTATTTAATGAGAATATAAAGAATAAAAATAAAGTAAGAAAATAATGATGGGGAAAACACAATCACTTGAAATATTGGGGTTCAAAATTCATCCTATACATTGCTAGCTTTTATTCTTTAAGTTGACTTTTTTAAAGTATTCTAATATTTTCCTAAATTGTCAGTCCCTTTTTAATTAGGGTCGAATTAATTCTCACGATACCCAAATAATTAATTAAATCGTGACATTATAGTTTAAATTGTCACAAAATTTCTATAAGTATCCCTAATCTAGTTATTTATATTTATTTTTCTATATCTAGGTTCTCTCTTTACCTCTTAGTCCATCAAAATCAACATGAAGAACAAAAAAATAGATATAATTGAAAAAAGAAAAATATATAATATAAATGCATAGAGTTAAAACAAAAGGAATAAAAAACTAGCTCCTCAATTAAGCTACATCTCTACCCGAACTTGATATATTAGAAACACATAATAGAATCAAATAACACTATTTTAATATTTTTAATCATGATAAATGATCATAGAGAAAATTAAGGAGTAGAAAAAAAAAATATGATATGAAGAACTCCTCAACGATCTCGCTTTCAGCCTTTAGGATGTTTATACAGGCTCTAGATATCTCATATCAAAGAAAATTCTTGAGGTACTTAAATAAATGATTGGATGCCTTCCCTCTTAATGGAGGAAAATAGTTATAATTAAAGTGAAGGTTTTTCTTTTCTTTCCTAATTAATATGAAACTCTAATATATATCCCATCTATACTTCTTCCTTTCTTTGAATATCGCACCCGCACCTCCTTCTTCATCATTGTTTTAATATATATATATATATATATATATTCCTCCTTCCTCTAACACACACATACACATGCCTTCAGCCTTTAAGATACTTCTACGGGCTCCAAATATTTCATTTTAAATTTTTTTTTGAAGTACTTAGATAAGTAATTGAATGTCTTCTCTCTTAATGGAGGAGAATATTTATAGTTAAAGTGGAGGTTTTTTTTTCCTAATTGATATAGAACTCTAATATATATCTCATCTATGTCTCTTTCTTTCTTTGACTATCATGTCCCCCCGTGAGCACACCTTTCATTCTTTCTTCAATTTGATTTTATTCCCTTTCCTATGAAATAAAAAAGATATAAATAGATTTTGTGGTAAAATTCTTTTTTATCCTATAATAAAGTGAGAAGAGGAAAATATATAAATACTAATTAAATAAATAGGTATGAAATATTAATAAATTTAATCAAACATAAGCCAAAACATATACCTATGTCACTTATCAGTAAATCTTGAAAACGCTTTTGACAAACTTTCTTAGAATTTTATCGAGGATACTCTTCAAGCTATTGGGATGAATATTTTTTTAGAAAAATCACTATGGCAACCAAAACCACTACACGAATGAAAACCCTTTTGAAATGGAGAACCTTTACATGAATTCAATTCTACTCGTGGCATCAAACAAGGGGATCCTCTTTGTTCTTGTCTTTTTGTTCTTTACATTGAACGTTTAATTCATTGCTTTTTTAGTAGTATTGATAAGAAAGAATGGAAACCATTAGCCTAATAGCTAATGAGCTTCCTATTTTTTATCTTTTCTTTACTGATGACTTGTTGTTTTTTACAAACGCTTCTCTCATTCAAGTTGGAATCACTCAAAAGTGTCTCCTTGACTTTTGCAAGGCTTTAAGGCAAAAAATCAACAATGCTAAATCAAAGCTCTATTGCTCCAAAAATGTCAACATTAATAGATCAGCACTAGTTTAGGAATTTCCCTCACTAGAAACCTTAGCAAATATCTTAGGATTCCTATCTTCCATGAAAGAGCATCTAAGTTAACTCTTGCTCCCCTCATTGAAAAAATTAATTCACATTTATCTTCTTGGAAGAGTCGTTATCTTAACATTGATAAGAAATTTATCCTCATAAAGTATATTCTTTTGACCCTTCCTAACTATACCATGCTAAGTATGCTCCTCCCAGATAATGTTCTTCATAAATTAGAAAAAAGTTCTCATAACTTCCTTTAGGACTCTTCTAATGGTTCTAAACAATTGCATCTTCTTTCTTAAGACTATGTTTCTAAATGGAAGAAAAATGGAGTCCTTAGTTTTAGGAATATCGAAAACCAAAATATTGTTTTCATTATAGAACTCCATTGGCATATTATTACAAAGTCTAATTGCCTTTGGGTTCAGGTACTTCACCATAAATATAAATGTAATAAGACTACTATCCTTATGGTCTTTAATTCTAGCCCTTCTTCTTACACCAAGACTAGTATTTGTAAAGTTTGGGATGCCTTTAAAACTCATGTTAGTTGAAAAGTAGGCAAGGGAGATCAAATATCCTTATGGTATGATATGTGTTCTCTCTCCCTAAGCCCCTTGTTATTTATGCCTCCCTTAAAACCAATGTTATCCTACATGCTAGAGTCTTAGATTTTTGCTCAATTACAGGCAGATGGAATATTGAAAAAATAAAGTGTTATATTCATTCCAATGCAGTCAGTTTCATTTTACTTGTTTAGCCTCCTAACTCTCATAGAGATAATGATGTTCTTGTCTAGGGATCTTCTTTTGATGGTGACTTCTCTATTAAATTTGCCTATAAAGTTATTGAAAATCATGGAGGAAATACCAATTCTTAAATTTAGACTACAATATAGAAATGACCTACTTATAAAACAATTAAATCATAGGTAAAGGTGCAAATTTAGCTATATATTATTTTTCGAGAAATATTTGGTAGCCTAAACTATCAGATGGTGCAAAATAAATCACAAACTTTAAAAAATGGAGTATTTAATAGCTCTCTGTTAACTTTAGCTGATAAACGTTATGTGGGATCTACAATGACACGTGGCACGACACAGGCACGAGATGTTAGCATGGTAAAGGTGCAAATTTAGTCACGAACTATTTTTTGAGGAAAACTAGATAGCTTTTACTATAACAAACTGACCATCCAATAGATTCTCCTTAATTTTGACCAAGTACCATTTATTTTTATATTTATAAAGCCTACAAAGTAGTAATCTTTCTAATCCTTTTATCTTTGTTCTCAATCTTAGTTAGAGAAGAAGAGGTTTGAAGAGTTTTTATCTGAAGACATTCACAAAGACGATGCTATCAAAGTAGGAAAAAATAATTCATGGCTAAATTAAGCTAGAATCAAGCTTTTCCCATGAGTAGTAAAATCAAGTTTATATTTCATTGGCATTGTTCACGTGAATGTCTTTAGATAAGAACTCTTTGAATATTTTCTTCTTGAGCTGATACTAAGAATGAAGGTAAAAGATTAGAGAGATTAATGCTTTGTAAGCCTCATAAGTATGAAAATAAAATGTATTTGGTCAAAATTGAGAAGAAAGTGTTGGATGGTCCATTTTTAATAGTAGAGGCTACCCAATGCTCCTTAAAAAATAACTCATGGCTAAATTTGTACCTTTACCATGCTGACATATTGTGCCACGTGTCATTATAAGCTTCACATAATGTTTGTCAGCTGAAGTTAACAGCGGGCTATTGAATGCTTCATTTTTAAAAATTTATAATTTATTTTATACTATATGATAGTTTAGACTACCAGATGCTTCTTGAAAAATAGTATATGAATAAATTTGCTACTTTACCCTTAAATTATTTCTTTAGAAAGCAGCATGGGAATACCTCCACACCAAATTTATCAATGCTAGTGATTCAAACACTTGCATAAGAACTTGTCCTGTTGGTTGCGATTTCCCTAACTTCTCTGTTCACATTTTGCACAACTATAGGAAGTATGGATGAAATTGGTTAAGTATTCCAAATTTAACACTTTCTTTTCCCTTTCCTTGTAGGATGGATACTCTAAGATATAAAGAATAATGTTGGAGGTTTAAATACTAGAAGAATCTCTTAGAAGAAACTTTTTGCTTACTTATACTAGAAAATAAATTTATTTTGAAGAGAACATCCTTGTCAGAGATATCATTTTCACTTGCATTCAAATTATTATTGGTGATCTTAATATTCAATCAAGGCTCGAGAATGTGCACTTCGATCAGGACAAATCTCTAGCAAGATGGATCTCACCTAAACCTA